TGTTTGAGCCCATTGTTGCAGTCACTGAGTTGATTCATCTTCTTGAGAGTCCTCCTCTTATTTCCTGACCCTCTGCTTTACCAAGCATGATGTCCTCCCCCAGGGACCGGTCTATCCTGATATGTCCAAAGTACCTGAGATGAAAACTTGCCATCTTTGCTGCTAAGGAGCACTCTGGCTGTATTTCATCCAAGACAGATGTGTTTCTTTCCTCTGTCAGTCCATGATATTGTTAGTATTCTTCACCAACATCATAAGTCAAATGCATCAATTCTTCTCCAATCTTCCTTATTACATTGTGCAGCTTTCACATGCATATGAGGTACTAAAAATACCATAGCTTGAGTCAGGGGCACCTTAGTATTCCAAGTGACATCTTTGCTCTTTAACACTTTAAAGAGGTCTTTGCAGCAGATTTTCCCAATGCACTATGTCACTTGATATCTTGACTGCTGTTTCCTTGGGTGTTTATTGTGGATCCAAATAAAATTAAATCCTTGACAACTTCAGGATTTTCTCCATTTATCATGATGTGGCTTATTAGACCAGTTGTAAGGATTTTTGTTTACATTGTATTGAGGTATAATCCGTACTGCAGACTGTAGTCTTTGATCTTCATCAGTAAGTGCTTCAAGTTCTCTTTGCTTTTAGCAAGCAAGATTGTATCATCTGCATATTGCAGGTTGTCAGTGAGTCTTCCTCCAATCCTGATGTCACATTCTTCTTCATATACTCCAGATTCTTGGATTATTTGCTCAGCCTACAAAAATACCATAGCTTGAGTCAGGGGCACCTTAGTATTGCTCAAGCAACCACAGTCTGACAAACTGACAGACAACTGGTGACATTAACATCATAGATGTTACGATTTACAACACATGGGCTAATTACATCAGATCACAAACTGGAATATAATTACATAATAGTGAGAATCAAGCTAGTCGAGTTGACACAAATTTCTGGGAGAAACAATTCAATCCATAACAACATCTATCATACATTTGCCTATTCAGTTGTTTTACAGGATTACAACAGATTGACTAAGTATGGTGAAGCAATATATCCCTGATACACACCTTTCCTGATTTTAAACCAATCAGTATCTCCCTATGTTGCTGAAACAACTGCCTCTTGATCTATGTACAGACAATTCTTTGCAATAGTATCCATAATTTGTTATGATCCACACAGGCAAATGCCTTTTCACAGTCAATTAAGCACAGGTAAACATATTTCTGTTATTCTCTGCTTTCAGCCAAGATCCATCTGACATCAGGAATGATATCCCTCATTCCACATCCTCTTCTGAATCCGTCTTGAATTTCTGGCAGTTCCTTGTCAACATACTGCTGCAATTGTTTTTGAATTACCTTCAGCCAAATTTTACTTACGTGTGGTATTAATGATACTGTTTGATAATTTTTGCATTCTTTCCATCACCTTTCTTTGGAACGGACATGAATATGGATCTCTTCCAGTCGGTTGGCCAGGAAACAGCCTTTCAAATTTCTAGGCATGGACAAGTGAGTGTCTCTAGCACTGCATCTTTTTATTGAAATATTTCAATTGGTGTTCCATCAATTCCTGCAGCCTTGTTCACAGCCAATGGCCTCAGTGCAGCTTAGACTGCTTCCTTCTTTACCATCAGTTCTTGATTATATGATGCTTCCTGAAATGATTGAATGTCAACCAGTTATTTTTGGTACAATGACCCTCTGTGTATTCCTTGCATCTTCCTTTGATACTTCCTGGGTCGTTCACTACTTTGCTCATTGAATCCTTCAATATTGCAACTTGAGACTTGAATTTTTTCTTTAGTTATTTCACCTTGAGAAATCTAGAGTGTGTTCTTCCCTGCAGGTTTTCTAACTCCAGATCTTTGTACATTTCAATATAATACTTTACTTTGTCTTCTTGAGCCACCTTTTGAATTCTTCTATTCAACTCTCTTACTTATAGGCATATGGATGTTATCCTATCACTGACAGCATTGTACTTGACAGATTTTGAAATGTTCTTTTTAACAATGAATATGACACTCTTCCTCTTTAATTCGCCATTCCTGGTATAGTAAGCTATATGATTGTCTGATCCCAAATGGCCAATATCAGTCTATTTCAGCTCACAAATACCTAGGATATCCATCTTTATGTGTTCCATTTCATTTTTAACGACTTCCAATTTTCCTAGATTCATACTTAGTACATACCACATTCCAATTATTAAAGAATGCTTGAAGTTGTTTCTTCTCATTTTGAGTTGTGCCACATCAGTAAATGAAGGTCCTGAAAACTTTACGCAATCCACATCATAGGCCCTTCCCCAGTTCTATTTTGAGTGCTTTCTGAACTGAGGGGCTACTCTTGTAGCACCATTCAGATGTTGTTCCACTGCTATTCATAAGGTTTTCACTGGCCAATTTTTTCAACAGTAGATCACCAGGTCCTCCTTCCCAGTCCGTCTTAGTCTGGAAGCTGTGCTGAAACCTGTCCACCATGGATGACCCTGCTGGGATTTGAAATACCAGTGACATAGCTTCCAGTATCACAGCAACACTCAAGCAACCACAGTCTGACAAACTGACAGACAACTGGTGACATTAACATCATAGATGTTACGATTTACAACACGTGGGCTAATTACATCAGATCACAAACTGGAATATAAATTACATAATAGTGAGAATCAAGCTAGTCAAGTTGACACAAATTTCTGGGAGAAACAATTCAATCCATAACAACATCTATTATACATTTGCCTATTCAGTTGTTTTACAGGATTACAACATATTAACATCAATTAAATTAATAAGCTGTTCAATCCTTACCCTTAGTCAATGTGATTTTTCCATCACCAAAAACCAAAACTCGGTGCTCCATAAGCAATAATGCCCCCATTTTTCCCCTGCTCTCTTCTCTGGAAACCACTTATAAACTTTGGTCTCTACATATTTCTCTGTTCTTCACATCTTTTTTTCTAGTAGTATCATTCCATCCATCAAGTGCAGAGTCAGCATAAGGTAATGGTTAAGAATAAGCACTCAAGCTATGGACTGCCTGAATTTGAATTCTAGTTCTGCCACTTGATGGCTCTATTGGTCTTGGGCAATTTGCTTAATGGCTCTGTATTTCCATTTCCTCATCTGTAAAGTGGGCTGATAATGGTAGCAACCCGGTAGTGCTGGCTATAGGGAGAAAATGAATTACTATTTGTAAATCACATAGTGACTGGTAGTGTCGTGTGATTTTTATATAAATGTTTTGAATATTGTCATAGATGCTTCAAACTTGATGGATAAAGGTAACAACTATTGCTACTGGATCCCAAATAACTATCAAGCCTAGCCAGTTTTACCTCCAAAATGTTTTGGGAAGATCCTCAATGGGATGGATTGACACAGTGGCTGCAACGATGGGCTCAAGCATGGCAATGATTTTGAGGATGGTGCAGGGCTGGGCCCTATCAATTGAGCTTGATATTCCTTGGGACCATGGTCCTGAGCCCACAGGTCCAACTACTCACTCCCTCTGGGTAGCTGGTCATGCGCATACTCCCCCCTGCCTAGACATACTTGATTGTTCTGACTGTCCACCCATCTATCCACTCATTGGTTTCTTGGTTTTGAGGTTTAGGGTCATGGTTTCATGGGACATCTCAGTTAATTGGTTTAATAACATGTTCAATGGCTCTGTTCTACTTCATAGTTCATTGCATAATGCCTGGGGTCTTGATGGGCTGGGAACAGTTAATGTTGATGGTTTAACAGCATAATGAACATATTTAATGTCACTGAAATGTACATGTGAAGATCATTGAAATAGCAAATGTTTCGCTACTTAATGTATTTACTGCAATAAAATGCATTTTAAAACACATGTAATTAAAAATTAGATTATTTCTTATGAGAATCTATTGATATGTGAGCCCATGTCTTCTCCAAACATTATCATTTTAGGAAGTCTTTCATGGACAACTACATTTTTGAAGGGTTGCTCTACATCATGGAAATCATGTTACTCTAGGGCAGCTGGGGAAGTTTTTACAAATTAGTAGCGGTAGCAGCAGCGGCAACCAGGCACGGTATGAGTTTTACTTGCATTAACCCATTGAAGCCCTATTGTGTTGTTTTCTATATTTTACAGATGAGGAAACTAGGACACAGAGAGTTTAACTCACTTGCTTGAGGTCACACAGCTATTAAATGATAGAACCTGGACTGAGATCCAAGTTTGTATGTCTCTAAAGCCTGGAGTTTTATCTCAAGCTGGAGTTTGAAGGCTCTCCAAGTTTCTTACCCCTCTCTGAGTTTCAGTTTCCTTATCTGTAAAACGGAGGGAAATAATGCTTATCTTGTAGGGTTGCTACCGAAGATTAGAAATAATACATGCTCAGGTCCCAGCAGCACATAGTAGGCA